AAAGCAGAATGCAAAGTTCTACAGAGTTATAAATGTCATGTTTTTATTGTTCAACGTCTTCTTTCAAATGTTCAACAATGTTGTCACTACATCTTTGTTCTGTAGGTTAAATCAAAATAAACAAATTCAATCAGGCTGAATCAGGGAAACAATCGTAGTAGGGTAGATACACAAAACATTTTGTGCATACTGAACAGAGTGCATTGACATTAGGGTAGAAAAGTGACAATAGTATTACATGTTTTTGTTACATGTAAGTAACTGTACTTTTGCACAATTTTACCAAGCATCTCTCCCCCTGAAACGATAATTTTGAAAACTTCATTATAATGGATATTAAGTCAATTCATAGAAGCCAAAAGGAGAAATTAGTCACATCAATTTACCTTCATTTCAACAAGATCAAAATTGTCCAAGACATTTAAAATTATTTTCGGATTTAAAATAAGGGTTTTGAAGACTAGAACTCTGAATGGTAATATTCCTGTAGATGCTCCTTACCTATGAAAGAAACAATTTTCAACATTTGAAATTCAATTGTGTGAACTCAAAGAAAAAAAAATCTGTTAACATTAATGAATAACAAAAAAATTCTGATATATTTTTTATTTTTGTAATTTGGTTTTATCCTACGTTGTAACAGGTACAGAAACTGAACTCACCTCAACTTTTATAAGACAAAATGAATTTACATTAATGAGATAACTAGAATGGATAAATATCAAGTAGGGATGTTCATGATTTCAGGAGATACATCAAATTTTATAAATAGTATTGACATGGTTTTAGAAATCTCATTCACAGATTTATTTTATCTCCAGAATATATTTGTGAATATTAGAGTGATTCCTCGTGATCAAGGACTAAAAATTCAATATTTTATTCAACTGGTTATATGATACTAAAACAATCAGTGCCACAACACAGCACCATACATAAAAGCTACTACAGAAATTTGATATACATCTACACATCACACATTTACATACAACTCTCATTCTGGTACTGTATTCTCATTTTACAAGAACAGAATAGTATTTACCGAAGTTCTAGTGAGATTTTGAAAACCATGTAAATATTTTAAGGAGAAAAGAAAACAAAAACAAACAACAATTTGATTGGGTCTAATTGGGTAACACTGGAGACAAGTAAAGCCATTTAGATTTCAAATGATTCTATATACAACAGTGTCAATTTACTAGAATCACTGTGTTTAAAGGGAATGATAACAAGCTAATACAGTACAGAGAAGACTTACATTAATATCACTAAACATACAAGATAACATCAAGTTTGTTGCTTTCTATGAATGAAATGTTCCTTGAATTGCGTAATGCCTGATAATTGTATCAGCAAATATTAATTACAATTTTAAAAAATTGTTCAATAATAATAACATTTTTAAATTCTGACACTTTCTATGTACAAATGTGTAAGATTATCAATGATAACACAAGTCAACTGTATAATAAGATCAGTCTACTACATTGTATGAACTTTTTAAAAAAAGTAATATAAAAGTCAACTGGAAGATGTGCCTCGTCAAGGCTGATATTCCATCAAGTTTTAGTTTAAGATACTTTGAGAAGTATCAACAACTGAATGTTCAATTTCACAATTTTATATTAGTAGTAAGAAGATAAAGAGTTAAATATGATTAAGCATGAAAGGTGGTCAACTGTTTCATGAGAAATAAAATGTACTATGCCACGTGCAAGTTACATCATAAATGTGCGAAGCAAAACAATTACATTAACTATACTCACAAATAAGAACAGTAAATTATAAAATAATAGCAACATTTTTGGTAAGTGACATTCTTGAAAACTATCAATGACAGCACTGTTACCAATTTGGAAGACACTATTTGGTGTTCTAAACTATTTTTGAAACTACTAAATATTGTATTTGGCATT